TATAAAAACCTATTAAAAAAAATTTTTTTTTTTTTTTTTTTTTTTGGGGGGGAAAAAAACCCCCCCCCCCCCCCCCCCCCCCTAAAATCTGTCATTCTGTTATGTTTCATCAATATTAGAGCCTCCAGCATAATCTCTGTTATAATAAAAATGATAATATGGCCATGGTACAGTGATGTAATATCATGGTCTAGCGATGCATACAATTTTACTGATTAATTAACATCTTGGTATATCTCATATTTAAATGATATTCCAATGTACATCAAAGAATATCATGATATTACCGTGGTATGTGTCCAAAACATGGCATGACCATGTTACCGTAACTGTAATAAACAGTCATGGTAACTGTATTAATATACATTTTGTTGCGTGCTGTGGCTCAAAAACATGACATGAATAAATAACCGTGTCAAAAAAACACCACATTATACTGTTTGTTCATTGTATTTGATAGGTATTTTGAAATGTTTCTCCATTCTTTTTTTTCAAATGTCATATTGTTTAAAATGATGGATTTAGTCCATGTTAAATGTAACCACATCATTAGACACTTTCAAATATTTACTAGGATTCTACTGTAGTAACACTAAATAGTATTTTATTGTATCTCTTGCAAAAATGTGTCATATTAAATCTGTTGGGGGTGAGGAAGTATACTTTCGTAACAGATGAACAGATGGCTACCAACAAGTGTCATGGTACTCCTGTGTTGTTGTTTTAAGTGTACCATGCATTTTGGACCAATACTGTGGTAGGTTAAACATTCAGTACTATAGTACTTCTGCAGTGCTTATTTTTGTGAGAGTCATTTTTTTTATAAGATTAACAGAAGCCATTGTAGTTGAACAAAAACCATAGTTTGTTTCACAGAAACCATAATTACATAAATCTAACCATGGTAATGAGGAGCAGGCCATATCATGGTTTTACCTGTGGTTACTATGGCCTTATTTAAAAAAAAATACCACAGTTAAACTGTTGTGATTATGCCAGAACTATGATACATTCAGGGGTGTTTAAGAGTATTTATACATTTATGAACACCACAAGTTCAAGGTGGTGTAATTGTCACAAATGGAGCCTAATAATAGAGATATTTGTGATTGTTTTACTCATAGTTCACAGCCCACTAGAGTAATTGCAGTGTCTTGATGACTGTCTTTCTGTGATGTGTCACAGGCGATGGTTGAGAAGGACTGTGTCGGTGCCATTGTGTGTAAGCTAGACATGCATAAGAAGATGTTCCGTCGCGGATACATCGCCATGCTCGCTGTGGACTCCAAATTTCGCAGGAAAGGCATTGGTAAGAGCCGTGCTAGCATTGTGGCCCTCATCTGAGAATGGCAACAGAAACAGATCTTTTTATAGGACACACATCTGCTTCAGTGTCAGCTCGTGAATGCATTTAGTGTCTTTGAACTGCTATGAATCAAGGGTTTGCCATTTTGTGTCGAAGGAGCCTGATCATTCCATGTGTTTTGTTTTTTTCCATTCATATTGTATTATTTACCATGTTCAACAGGTATTTATAATACTTGGAATGTGTTATGAATTATTGTACTTATTCTTTGATAGGCACCAACCTTGTGAAAAAGGCCATTTATGCTATGGTGGAGGGAGATTGTGATGAGGTAAGAGAATCATCTTGTCAAGATTTGACACTATGGGTGTGTTTGGAATGGAACTACTACATACTTCATACTACACGGTAGACTTAGAAGCATGGATTTTCCCAGGTGAGATTGAAAATGCTTTTTTCTAAATTTTTGCTGAAAGTGTTAATAGTATTTTAATATTTAAAAAAATTGCTGTAATTTTAAAATAATAAAGGAAATATTTATAATATAGTGCTGTCAAATCTATTAATTGCATCCAAAATAAAAGTTTGTGTTTACATAATATATGTGCGCACTGTGCATACTTGTGTGCATTTATATGTAATGCACATACACACAGTTAATAGTATTTTAATATTTAAAAAAATTGCTGTAATTTTAAAATAATAAAGGAAATATTTATAATATAGTGCTGTCAAATCTATTAATTGCATCCAAAATAAAAGTTTGTGTTTACATAATATATGTGCGCACTGTGCATACTTGTGTGCATTTATATGTAATGCACATACACACATATATATATATATGTCTATGCATGTGTGTGTGTGTATATATATATATATATATGTGTGTGTGTGTGTGTGTCTATTAAATACGAAATTGATTAAAAGGATAAACCATTCACCAAATGCTCCGCGTATAACAAAATTCCAAGCAAAGAAGGTTTCCATGAATTTTTCTGAGGACACTGCATCTACCTTAGGTGGAAAATAAAAACAAATTTCTATGTAAAAATATTGAAGCATTGTACGATAATATCTGGAATTCGTCTCGGTTACGGAGTATTACAGCGAATATAAGTATACAAAAGTAAGGGAGTCGCAAACGCTCATAAAACGATATTTAGTGTATGCTGAAGTTAACGCGTGGCTAATAACCCTTTCACGCCTCCAAATGGGATATTTCAGGAAGTGTGCACTTGGGTGTCCATGGATCCAGATAACTGTTACCGTTTTTTGAACTTCAACACGAATCATTTCTTATCATCCATATCTCCAAATGAGGGTTCTCAACGCCTTAATACGCATGACTAACATTTGGAAGGAAGTAATTTGGTATTTTATTGCCAATAGAAGATACAGATTAGATTCAACCATCTCAAACGTTTTACAAAATAAGTGCATTTCCGATGTGATATGGACCAAATCGCATATCACCGATATACTTGCCACAAGATGGCGACAGAGCCCGTTGAAAGGAACAGTAACGCTGATCACTCCGTATGACTAGTTTAAGAATATTCAGGTTAATTTCATGCTGCAAATGTCGATAATAGCATCGATACAACAACAACAAAACACCCTAAACGGTAGGTAGTAGGTCTATTATTGAAGTTTAATAATAGAGTTTAAACTGAATGCTGTGTCTTTAAACGAGGTGTTTAGATGCCATGATGAATTTTGTGGTGTTTACGACATGATCCGCAGAGAGGCGCAATTGATCCACACAAACCAAAACCTTAGCATCACAGCCCGCACAATACAGAGCACAGATATGGAAGTGGATAAGTGTTATCAGAGTCCTTGATGTTATTATTTTGTCATCAGACGTTGCCTTCTCGGAACATTTCAACCGATAAATTATATATTACGGTATTTTAACATACAATTTGCTGATTATGCATGACCACTAAATTATTACTGCCACTCTGACTTCCCAGAGTGTTGTTAAGCACACTCATAATAATAATAATTATTATTAATATAATATATGCTTATTTCTGAATGTTCCAAATGACAAGAACTGGATCAAAGAAAACCTCCACACTTTTTTTGTTTTTTTGAAAACTTCTAATAATGGCAAACTGTAACTCTGAATACATCATTGACCGAAATTATTTACTGTAGTACAACCGTTGATTTCTTTATTCTTTTATTTAGGCATTTATTGCAATTGCACTGTACTATATATATATATATATATACATACATACATATGTCTATGCATGTATGATTTATATTATACAGAAATATAAATATATATTACATATATTTCTTAAAATATACATTACATATAAATATACACAGTACACAAACTTATGTAAACACAAACTTTTATTTTGGATGCAATTAATAACATTTAATTGATTTGACAGCACTAATTTATCAATGTTTTAAACTGCCTTATGTTACATTGTTGTCATGTGGATGTTTTTCACTTATCTCAGAAATAAATGCAATTCATTATTATATATGATAAATGTGATTATGATGCATTTATAAAAGTATTAAGCAGCACAACTGTTTTCAACATCGATAATAAAAAGGGGTTTGAACACCTGAATCAGCATATTGGAATGATTTCTGAAGGATTATGTGACACTGAAGACTGGAGTAATGATGCTGAAAATTCAGTTTTGCCATCACTGGAATGAATTACATTTTAAAAACTTTCTAAAGCATTAAAAAAAAAAAATGTACCAACTGAGAGTATGTTGGTAGTGTGATTTTATGGGTTTGTGTTTAACAGTAGTGTGCTGTGGCAGGTTGTACCATCACCACGTTGTATGTAAGTATTTCTGTGTCATTGCCAATAGACCCCCATTTTGCTTTGCTGCTGGCTCATGAGTTGTTCTGGGAAGAAAACCTTTTAGTTTTTTCAAGTTTGGAGTGGGAAACAAGTTTTTTTGATTTGCTAAATGTACATATGGAAGTTTGATTTGTCGTTTTTTGATTGTCATTGGAAAAGTTCCCCATAGAGCTGCTGCTCTCAGTTGTTGAGAATATGGATGGGTTGCTTTATGAATTTGCGCTTAAAACAGATATTTGCTGATAGATTTATGGGAAGAGGAATTTATGCATCTTTTTTTTTTTGTGCTTTGTTTAGTTGCATTTTTTTAGGCCCAGATTGTAGTACATCTCCCAGAAATGTAATGTCCCATCAATCCCCTTTGACGCATCAGACCGTGTGCTGTCTGTCAGTAAGGCTCAGGTGTTTGGTTTGTGCTCAACACTTGTCAGGGGCTCCTTTCAAGGTCCCAGTGGTTATTAACAGCCAACTTGTCTTTGTAAGGACTTTATTCCTTTTGATTTGTGGACAGTCGATGCTCAAATGGAAATTTGAGAGCCTTTGAGTAGTTTTCATCTAAACAGACCATCAAAGTCAGTCTTTAGATTGCAGATGTAAATTTAGTCTGAAATCAAGGGATCGTTTAGATTCACATCATTTACTCACCCTCATATTGTTCCAAACCTGTGCGTTTTTTTGTTTTCTGTAGAAGATATTTTGATAAATCAGGTTTTTTCGTCCATAGAGTTGAGAGTCGCTTGGGTTCAAAACAACATTGGATCCCACTGACTTTTATTGTATGGACAAAAGCAGTTGAAACGTCCTTCAAGATATGTTCTTTAATGTTCTGCTGAAAGAAGAAAGTCATACAGATTCAGAACTACATTAGTTTTGGCCATTTTCTTTTTTGAATTATCCTGTTAAAGGATTAGTTCACTTCTGAATTAAAGTTTCCTCATAATTTTCTCACCCCCATGTCATCCAAGATGTTCATGTCTTTCTTTCTTTAGTCGAAAAGAAAAAGGTTTTTGAGGAAAACTTTCCAGGGTTTTTCTCTATATAGTGGACTTCAGTGGGGTTCACTGGGTGGAAGGACCAAATTGCAGCTTCACGATCCCAGATGAGGAAGAAGGGTCTTATCTAGCGAAACGATCGGTCATTTTCTAAAAATAATTACAATTTATATACTTTTTAACCTCAAATACTCGTCTTCTGCGTGAACTCTGTGCATTCCGGTTCATGACAGCTAGGGTATATCGAAAAACTCCCATCTCATTTTCTCCTCCAACTTCAAAATCGTCCTACATCGCTGTTTTACCGTTTTTTGTAAAGGGCGTTTGACCTTCTTTGCACGTTCACCTTGTAAACACTGGGTCAGTACTTCTGCAGCGATGTAAGATGATTTTGAAGTTGGAGGAGAAAATGAGATGGGAGTTTTTCCACCTACCCTAACTGTTTCGAATGGGACTGCACAGAGTACGCATGCGCATTGCAGAGCTACACAAGACAAGCGTTTGAGGTTAAAAAGTATATCATTTTTATTCTTTTTTTTTTAGAAAATGAACGATCGTTTCGCTAGATAAGACCCTTCTTCCTCGTCTGGGATCGTGTAGAACACTTTGAAGCTGCAATTTGGACTTTCGACCCAGTGAACCCCACTGAAGTCCACTACATAGAGAAAAACCCTGGAATGTTTTCCTCAAAAACCTTAATTTCTTTTCGACTGAAGAAAGAAAGACACAAACATCCTGGATGACATGGGGGTGAGTAAATTATGAGGAAATTTAAATTCGGAAGTGAACTAATTCTTTAATAAAATTCAAAACCTTTCACAAGGTGCCAAACTTGACAGACAATAATACATTTCTGGCTGTCGATCCTCACCATTCAATGCTGCCCATGCTTTCATACTTGTGGTTTAAAATTGTGGTTGGCACGATTGTTTTTTTGCACTGCCAATATCTGACTTTTATGGATTATATTACTGTAAGCTGTCCATCAAATGTTATGGCCATTTAACAGCTTTAGACCAAACAGCTGGCAGGTTCTAGCTGGGTAAGATCTCATATTTAGATGATGTGGACACTAATCTGACTGGCTTCTGTTTTGGGGAATTATTCATTGATGGGACTCATTTTGAATCTGCACTTGTGGCTAATTCTCATCCCTGTAAACGGTGGAGTTTATGTTGTAGTTAGTGTTACTCTTGTACTTTCAGCTGATTTGGACAAGTGAGACCTGCTCCACAAACATGGATCCATTTTGTTGGGGAAAGAGCGGCTGTTTGCATGTTGATTAAAATTTTCTCCACCCTTCTTTCTCCCACTTTCACCCTTGACAAAATGTCTTGCAAACGTTTCTTTGTTTTCAAGTGGACAACAGACCTGGTTTAAAAATTATAAATAAATTATTTGATTTTTAAGCAAATGTTGTAACTTGTTCTTTCTGAAAGGAAATTTGTTTAATTTGTAATGTAATGATTTCCATTTGATTTTAATTATGTGATTTTAAGGTTACGTGTGTAATAATGGATGTGGCAATCAAGCAGAACCACATGTTTGGCTGTACAATAGTAGCCAGGGAAT